GCACACACCGCACGCAGCGTACGAGGGTGAAGTGGGAGTGGGCGTCGGTCTGGTGATCGTCGGCTGAGCTGCGAGGCGCGGGGGCCTGGCCGAACACGTTGTCGAAGAGCATCTCGACCTTCATCTCGTCGGCCTTGGCGCGCTTGCTCAGCGTGCCGTCGTGGGTGAAGGGCAGATGGGACGGGTCCAGTATGTTCTCAATGAACAGCCCATGTCCACTGCGCCGTTGGTCGTGTGTGCGCGGTGAGTGCGGTCGAGCGTGTGCGGTGAGTGCGGTAAGCGTGTGCGGTGAGTGCGGTCGAGCGTGTGCGGTGGTGGGTTACATGTCAAAGTCGCGGGTGACGGTGTCCTTGCCCCAGCTCTTGTCGCGGTACTCCTTGAAGAGGTGGTGGGGGATGTGCTGCTCGGACGCCTTCTCCGGGTCCCCTGGCCACACCCACACCAAGTCCTGCCCGCCGTGTAGGGAAGAACCACCGGCTTAGTGGTCTGTGTGCGTGCGGTGACGTGTGTGCGTGTGCGTGTGTTGTGCGTGTGCGGTCAGGCGCACGTAGACTTCGGTGGTGGGATAGGCGTAGACGCAGAAGGGCTTGCCGGGCCTGGTGGTCGGCTCCGACGGGATCGACTCACACTTGCCACCACTCCCGAACTGCCACCCGTGGTACTGCGAACAAAATATTTCCATATATTATTTTAGTCTATTTAATCCTATTCTAAGTAAATAATATAGTAAAATAATATGCTATCATTTTGCCTCAATTAGAAAATAAAAAATAAAAATAAAATAAGGAGGGCGAAAAAAATATACCTTGCACTCGAGGCGGCCATCGCGAACGGTGCCGACGGAGAGGGGAGCCGAGCGGTGGGAGCACTTGTCCTGCACGCACTGGGCCGCGCCGTGCTGGTCCCGAAACAGGACGATGGGGTCGCCCAGCAGCTGGAAGCCGTAGGGGTCGGTCGGCCTCGACCCTGTCGCCGCCGCCCCTCGTGGCAGCTCGCTGGCAAAGGCCACCGGGTACCAGTGGTTGCGCATATCGAACGCCCCTCGAGCGGCCTCCATCTTATGTGCGTTGCGTTGTTGTTTCTTTTTTGTTTAGTTTTTAGCTTTTTTCTGTTGGACAAACAATGAAATTCGATGGAGTGAGGCAGTGGTCCAATCAGCAGTTTCCTTAAAGACGGAGTTGCCGAACCAATAAGGAACCTCCACCACTAGTTTAGTGATCACCCGAGTTGTCATCTGGAACTGCGAGTGAGTGCTTGCTTTATCAAGACAACATGTTAGAGCACTGACAGCGCTCACCAACTACTCTCAAGTACAGGGATGCAACAGTAGGAGATGAAGGTAGTACAGCAACAAAGAGATACCATCAGTGGTGGCGCCACGGTCTGGCTGCAGGCGGCCCAACAACGAAGAGCATGAAGGTGGCGATGGAGAGCAGCAGCAGCG